TTTTACTACTCGAGTAGTAAGTTAAAAAAAGTATTATACCAACGGTGGTCTTGTTGACTCCGAGAATTATTATCAATTTAATATTTAAACGAGAATCTCCTGAAAACATTTTAATATAACTAGAAATGAAAACAAAAACCAAATTTATAATATATGAAATGTATTACTGAAAAGTTAATGTCTTACAACGCAAGAATGAATCATTTTTTAGTTCGACTATAATGTAAATGTAGAGATATATGAGTCCTTTTAAAAGAACAGATAGTTGTTCCAATATATTCGTTCTTAAGAAAAAAGCAAAATTTATCAATGATTTAACGATACTTTCTAGCTAGGAATACATTCTATCAATAGCATTTAATTGATGGTCACTGGAAACCAATTGAAATAATAGAATTAAAATATTATTCATTATGCATCCCTATTTAACAAACAATGCTAAAGTATTCGTATTAGAATAGTTTAGCATTGATAGATTTTGAATGATAATTTATATTGATTTATATATTTATAAAAATATCAATCAGGAATATAGATAAATATGTTCTTCATCTTTAGTGAAGATGAAATGTGTATATCAGAAAAATCATTCAAATGAGTATCCTTTGTGTTTTCTAGTGTACAAAATAAGAAAAGGAAAAGATTCGAAAATCTTAATACATCTGAGTGTTGATATCATATTCTACACGGAGTAAAGTATGTTTTGTTGGTGACAGATTTATTTTTGTGCGTTGATACAGAGAGATTTCGACTAATATGCGTTATGGATGAAGATGAATATTGCCACGATTTTCCTTTCTTTTTATTGAGAGAAGGTATATGAAATATGTTAAAACGAGTTCTATCTAAACTTTTGAGTTTCAGAACTTTTTCGTGAATCATTCATCAATTCTTTGATCACATAAGAATCATGTAGAATTCGATCATTTTTTTTAATTTCTCGATCAAATTTCAACCATTTCTTCCACAAATAAAAGATACTATATAAAAAAAGGTAGTTGTGAATATGAAATCAAACTGTACACTGCAATCGATTTCCATACATGTCACTGAATAAGTAGTTTTTGAACTTTCTTTCTCTCACAAATCAATTTAAACAACATTATACTCTCAAAAAACTACTGTTCATTAATAAAACAAACAATAGGAAATAGTTTGAATTCCAAACAAAAATATTGAGCGAAGAAATTCAATTTCACTAAGTTCATGATCATTATAGCTTGATCATTCTTTCATGATAAAGTTAAAGAATATGAATGTGGAGATATTCAAAAATGACTTCAGTTCGAATTCGTTGATCTTTACTAACTGAAAGACGTTTCAAAAAATGAACATCACTTTTTATTTTCTTTTCAGATACAATATTGTTTGAATCTTTACTCTTTTACATTGATATGGTGTTACATATCTCTATAGAATAATATTTAATACACTGCTATATCAAGTTTTCATAGTGGTTACCATGTTGGATCAAAGAAATTTAAAATTCTAGTCATCTGCCTTTTCAATCGTCAGCATTGTCTTGTTTTTTAACATATATACGCACAGTGAGACTCATCTACTTTCATGTTTTCTAGATATCATATCATAAGCTAGAATGATATTTCCTGTAGACGAAAGTTCAACAAAGATAGCCTACTACCAGAAAGTATTCAAAGATACAACAACAATTCCTTGTGCACTATAATGTAATCCACAGATATCAACTGACATAGCAAATTGTTTCTACTGTATTTTGTGTCTTGAATGTTGCTCTAGTAGGTCGATGTTGCCATCAATCCATATATTTTCGTTATTGCAACATGTATTTGAGCAGATTTTTTTTCGTTCGTAGTTTTCACTGGTTTGTTTTATCTAAACTTTATTTTTATTAGAACATGACACAAACTTAAAAGAAACAGAAGTAGATGGAAGCATTCCTGATAGAATAAGTAAAGAGAAGAAAAACGAACACATTAAATATAAGCTTGTCTAGTTTTTCTTTGTTTGATTTGATAAAAGTCTTGATTATTATACATGATATTATATCCAATATAATTACTGTTGTTTTAAATATTTTTCTATGGCTTTTAAATCATGTTTAAGTACTTCAGAACGCATATGAATTGTTTCGAGAACTTTTTTGACTGGTCGTGCAACGATTGGTGTATCCATCGTATCAAAGAATGCTTTTATTTCGCTTGCTGTTTTTTCATCAGCAAAATCGGATAAACCATTCTCAACAAAAAAAAATAAGAAAATTACTCTTGTCACCAAAGCGTTCAACAAGTGTTTTCCAATTTTTTTGTAAAAATTTCCAAACTAAATCTCGTCCATCACGACATGATGTACAACCAACAAAACCTGATATTGAATCTTGCATTCGAACATTATCTCCTTCGAATACAAATTTTAATGTATTCTCAATAATTTCTGGTTTAATTGATTGACCCATCGCACGAAGTAATCGTACCTTTTTCTTCAGTCATATCTGCAGCAACATATAATTGACGAAGTTCTTTTTGCGTTGTTTCATCTCCATAACATGAAACAATAGTATAAACAGCTCCACGAATATTTGGATCAATTAAATCTCCAGCAATATGGCGTGCAAAACGGTTCTTTGATTCATCAATTACAGCTTGATTACCAGATTTACCGACAATAGTTAATATCATTGGACGTAACATAGCTGAAAGTGGATCTTCATTTGGTTTAGCATCCCAACCAAGTTTGTTTTGTATTGATGAAAATAAATTTAAACGATATTTTTTAAATTCATCGAAATAATCTGTATATTCAAGTAATGAGGATAAATCACTCATGTTTGATGCAATTGCTTTCCATACAGTGAAGTTATCTTCATCTGAATATGATGGTAAAAGTTTAAGATAATCAACAAATGATTGATGACCAGCGTTACATAATGCAGCAACATCATTTTGTATCATAAGACGGTCTTGTGGACTTATTGTTTTGTTAGCAATTGGTTCATTAAGACGTGCCAATGTTTGCGATTCATATTTAACACGATAAAGACCAATTGAATTAAAATTTAATTTAATCCAATCATCTTCGAGAACATTTTCTAATGTTATTGTTATCTCTGGTTTATCCATTAAAACTTGTTGTGCAATTTGTTTTGGATTAGATTTTGTAAAAACACTAATAGGAATTTTCCATTGAAGATTATCATCATCGGCACTTCCATCAGCAATAAAACGTTGTTGTTTTATTTTAAGAATACGATTTTGATTTGTTTTTTCTTCAGTTACAGTTAAAAGTGGATAGCCCATTTGAAGTGTCCATGATGACATAACTTCATTAACTGGCTTATTTGATGCTTTAGCTAAATGTGACCAAAGATTTTCAGTAACGGTATTTTTATAGCTGTATTCTGTTAAATAATTATGAAGTCCTTTGCGGAAAGCATCATCACCAATGTAATCATGTAACATACGAATAACTGATGAACCTTTTGAATACGATATTGCATCGAAAATTTCATCGATTTCAGCTGGATGACCAATAGGTACTTCAATAGGATGTGATGATTTCAAAGCATCTGGAACAAGAAATCTTGCAAATGTATCGGCAACAGATTGTGTCCAAATATCAAATTCTGGATAACATTTATCAACAGCTAAATATTCAATCCATGTAGCAAAACCTTCATTAAGCCATAAATCAGTCCACCAATCCATAGTTACTAAATTTCCAAACCATTGATGTGCAAGTTCGTGAGCAACAACAATAGCTACGCGTTGTCGTGTATCCAAGGATGAAAATTTTGGGTCAATTAAAAGTGCTGTCTCACGATAAGTTACTAAGCCCCAATTTTCCATTGCTCCCATAGCAAAATCAGGAATAGCAATTTGATCAGCTTTAGCAATTGGATATTTTATATTAAAATAATCAGCATAAAATGGAAGAACTTTTGCTGCAGTACTAATACAAATTGTCCATGTTCTTTTTTTCCAGCTGGTGTATATACTTTCATACTAACACCATTTGAATCTTTGATTTCAACATAATCATAGTCACCAACAACATAAGCAACAAGATATGTACTCATGATTGGTGTACGATCAAATTTTGTTATTTTCCAATCTTTATCATTGTTATATTCATCTTCTGATTTAATCGGCATATTTGAAATAGCACGAAGATTTTTCGGTGTAATTAATGTTATATCAAATGTAGCCTTAAAATTTGGTTCATCCCAACATGGAAATGCTCGTCGGCAATCAGCAGGTTCAAATTGTGTACTAGCCCCATAACGAACGTCATTACTATCAGATGCTGTATGTTTAGTTCGATAGAAACCACACATACGATTATTTATTTCACCAACAAATTTTAGTGCTAGTTCATAATCACCTGTTTCAAGTGTCTTATCGAAATTGACTGTTATTCGTTCACCTTCTTTATCATAATCAATTTTACCTGTTTGTTCATCATTTGAAATTGATTTTAATTTAGCATTATCAACTTCTAATTCAGTTGCATAAAGTACAATACTACTTGTTGACTCTTTAACTTGTAAATGTATATTTACATTTCCATTAAATGTAAATTTATCAAGATGTGGTTGTATTGTTAAATCATAATGAGTTGGAACAATTGTTTTTGGTAAACATTGAAATAATAGTTTTGATTCTTCACTATTATGACCATTCATCTTTAATCTCTTGGTAAGTTGTAATAAACAATCTTTCTTGGCAGTATGTAAGGCACGATATATTCTCTATGCTTATACGCACGGCATTCTTGCATGATATACTTTTTACATGGTATGTGTAGAGACAACACAAATGCCATGCTGCAGCCATCATTGAGAAAACTTGCTTATTTCAAATTGCCAAGAGGTAAATAATCGATTCTGATGAAACTCATGTCGCAATGACAAAAACGTACAGGTTAATGGTAACGTTGACTTGTCAGAGCAACATACTTCTTAGAAAAAAGAAACAATGAATACTGTCAACATTTTTAGCTTTATGTGTATATTTACTAATTGACATACTTTAGAACTGGATAAGAATTGATTATTACGAGAAGTGACTCAGTTTGTATCTAGTCAGAATATCTAGAACATGATTTCTACTTTTTTTTTGTTTTTGAGACATTTTAAACTTTATGATTTCATCCGTTGAATAAAGTGTGAAGATAAGAGAACAAGAGAGAATCTTTTCAATAAAAATAATTATAGGTTTTTGATAATTTCGATTGAGACATCATCTTTTTGAAAACTACCCCAGGTTTAATAAGAGGTCATCTCTTTAAGTAAGTCTTTGGTTTTTTGATGAAATAATTGAAGTTTTCTGAAAATGTTTGAATAAATCTTTGGCATAGAAAGTGATTACAAGAAATAGACAAAAGATGTATGCTCAAAAAATTGATTGTGATATGATTTCTACATTTCATTATGACAGCAGCACTTTTACTGGTATGCATGTTATTGGAAAAAAGATATATATCTACTAGATAGGAAATAGCTCACGTTTAGAAAGATAAAAAAGATCAAAATAGTATCATGTTGTCTACAGCGTAGACATCAGAAGTCACCTTTTTAACAATGAATTCTTTGCTAAATATATTAGGATTGACTTCTGGAGTAAATATTAATTTGTTCGATAAATCAAAATGGTTATACTATGATAATACCAATCATGTGCGCAATGTTGAACATATCTTGGACAATTTCAATGGAAATTAACTTTGTGTTATAATCAAGTTAGTTACAAAGCTCGTCCTATTATTCTTAGGAAAGATATGTAATTTGTGTGAAGAGAAACTCAATCTGAAAAATTTTGTTTTAAATTTAAGTTATGAGCCATTTATATATTAGAGTAAGCATATTTAAACAAAAATGAGATCTAGTAAATGCTACACGTGATTGTACATGATCTAAGTTTTTCCAACTATTATGAAACTAAGCTATTATATTAATTGTAATAAATATTGAAGATTAATAATTTTATATATCTCTTTTCTAGTTGAGACAAGTCTTTTATAGATAAAATGAATAATCCTAGGGAAAGAATCATAAGAATAAATTTAGAAAAATTCACATTTGAAAATATTTTTTAGTCATTCGGTATTTTCTCCTTACACTTTAAGCGAATACCTTCAAACACTTCTTTGATTGTCAAAAATGAAATTTTGTTTCCCTTAAAAGTGTTTTTTGGTGTACGTTTATCATCATTAATGATATTGTCATATTCTGTTTATCATAATGGATATTTTCAAAGTAATTTGTTCACTAAAAACTCTAAAAATTTGAATAAAACATGCATTGTACGAAATATGTCAAATGTCGAAGTATTTTTCTCTGTAGAAATAGTCGTTTCTATTGATTTAAAGTAAACCATTTACTAAAACATCATAAATCATATAAATATATCTATTACAATTCTTCTTCTTCAATATTGACTATGAGAATAAGCAAAAAGATTATGAATGAATCATAATATAAATGTTATCTGTATTGGGTTCTTCAAAGTTGATTTTTCAGGTAGATGCTCTTCTTATTTTGCTTCAATTCATCAGAGGATCACTCTTACTGAAAGACAATATGATATATCTAACTAAAAATTTATATTATTTTACAAAGTATTTTCATTAAATGAACTTTCTTTTATATTTCAATTTTTCATAAAACTTGATATTTCAGAGATATATATGCAGACGTATCATTTATTTTTATGAGTACCATCATCTATAAGATAGATAATTTTCTCATGAACAAAAAGAATACCTAAACAAAAAAAGTAGATTGATTTATATTAAGTC